GGAAATCGGGAAACAAACTGAGAAAACAAGCCAAAACAAAATCGCCACATTCAATAACCAAACCAATTAAATTCTAATTAAAGCGTTAACGAAACATCTTTGGAATTTCAAGATCTTCAAAACTGTAGCACAAGCTACTTAAAACTGTTGATGAACTTGACCGCTATCAATACACACTTAGACTTTGAATCATTTCCGTGTGGTATAACGCCATCCAACTCACGCTGTAAAATGAAGGAGCGCTTGCGAGTAAAGTAACCTGCATTACACGGGGCGAAGAGGAAGATAAAGAAAGAGAATGTACTCTCCACGTCAGACACACCTACGCGACAAGATTTATTTTGTTGCTATGGTTGCACCTCAAAAGGTGAATATGGTAAGTAGATTACCCTGTCGGTCTGGCCACAAGTATATCCGTTCAGTGTGGAAGAATAATCGTAAGTAGCTTGTACACGGTATTTAACGCTATAAAATAGAAAGAAGGCATCAAGAAAATCTTCGAAAGGGAGTTATCAGTTTTAGCACAAGTAAAACGACAAAACAAGTACATACAGACAAAACTGTACAGACAATTGAATTACAGAGTCAGAAATGTCTGCTCCGGTAAAGATCGCTTTTACATTTAGAACAGTCTTACTGTAAACAAAACTGTTGATGGTGCTGTTTGTGTTTGTTTGTTCCTTTCACATTAAGATTGACCCGAGTGATCCGAATGCAGTCGTTCTTATATATATAAAAAAATAGACTACGTAATTTTATTTTTACTATCTGGGTGGTATTTTTGTTTTTAATTTTCCGAAGTAATCGAAAAACGTCTCTTAAAAAAAGCGACATCACTGATCCACCTCGAAAAACTTGCCTCTAAACTTAGTTTGTAAATTACTTCATATGCAAACTTTCTTTACTCAGTCTTTGCCATTCTTATGTTCGGTATAGGTCTTGATAAAAGTTCCATACCTCGAACAGAATTTTACTTTTGCCAACAGCACATACAGTGGTGGCTCATTATAAATTGTGCGGCTAACGGAACTCATCTAAACACAAACTCGAGCAAACATCTTTATTACTTCCCTTACCGTGTCTGAAGTTTTTTCTTTTAATTTTTTTCTTCTCGCTTTTCCTTCACATTCACTTAAACCTAATCACAAATCTTTTCAATTTTTTAGACACGGAACGAAAGTCAAGACTCGAAAGGCAATCGCCACTTCATTCACGATTAATTTGCATCGTTAATTTAACCAAAAATTTATTATGTCTTTAATACTTCAATATTATTTTTACGGTAACTGAGCCAGCCTTCGAAATTATTCACGACTTCTTTTAAAAAATAGAGAACTGAAATAAAGCACTCTTTCAAAGCTATGTATAAATTAAATTTGAAAATCCAAAATTTACATTTCTTCCAAAATAGTCCTGCGTTACTATATTTCTCACCTTCGAAATTCCATTTCCATTTGATAAATCTCTAATTCCTTTGGTTGGAGGAAAAACAGTTACACAGACAGTTAAAAAATATCTGTATCTTAAACAAGAGTCCTTATTTGATGAGTTACTACGCACCTCCAAAAATAAAATGCAAACCAAACATTAATGTCAACATTGTCCTGACGAAGGGGCCATATTGGTTTTGATAATGTACTCGATAAATGAATATTCATCGGGGTAAAGTCTGAACATCTGTCTATCAGAGAAAAATTATTCAAGACAAAAGAACGACCGGCAAAGCTCAGATAAAAATGAAAATGTCAATTCAATTAACTCACTTTTTGTAGCTCAAACGCAATTTTTCTCGGTGAGATCGTGATAGACGAAAGCAGATCCTCAATTAATCTTTCAAAACGTTAAACCATTCACGGAAGTTGCCGAAGGCATACTTTAAATCCTGTTACCCGAGAAGGATACATAAAATATTGATTCAGTGTTTAAAATCGGACGAAACAACTAAATCCTTTTAACTCAGCGACGCCTATGTTCCTACAAACGCACAATTTAAAAAAAAAAAATTGTGTTTTAAAGAGTAACAAAATTCTTGGTTTGAAAATGCTACATTTCGCTATGATCTTAAAAAATGTATATTAACCTAACCTTGGCCAGAGAAAAACAGAGGGTTCTGACCTGACACTGCGACGTTTACGTTGAAAATTCACGTTAACCATGCGTTTTAAATAGGTTCTATCGGATAACAAAATGTAAGATACGGAAAGATCGAGAAACTTAATGACACTTCTCATTTCTTGCAGGAAATTTAGCGGACCCTGTCTACCCTTGAATGAACTCGATCATTTACATTTTTTTTAAATTCGAAAACCTTGTTTACATCTCCTCTCTCCAATCTAAGATATATTGTGCGCTTCAATTCACAGTTCTTTGTCAAACAAGAGCTCAGAAATAAACACGTTGCAAAATTTTAATTGAGGAAATCATTTAGTCCTCAAATACAAATGATATCACAAAAAAATAGAGCAATATACGGAAGCTCGTCTCTCTAAATTCAATTTTAATGAAATGCTAATAAATGAAAATGCGATTTTAAGGAATATTCCTTGCTACTTCAACCACTAACTCAAGTTGATTGACAGCGTTTCCATAAGAGGAGTATCATTAAAGAGTGCTCAACATATTAAGAAAAAGTTTTTGTGATGTCACCTAACTATTGTAGAAGCTTAAGCTTTATCCGAGGTGGACTGGCAGTCAAAACACGCCAGTCACGCAAATAAAATGACAAAATCAATCGTACCTTACGTGACAAAGAGAGTATCCGAATCTGATTTTTAAGACTCGTCGCGTGCTGTGACGCGTGAGCCATAAAAACGATTCGAATCAAACAGAAAGTGCAGTAGTGTTAGATCTAAAAAAAACTATAATTTTACAAGATATTTTCCAGTTTCAAAACAAAATGCGAACCTTGCGAGGTGAGGAAGACTTTATAAATAAGAATATAATTCATATCGTTCGACGAAAAGCATAACAGAATGTGAAACAAGATATCGGTTTGAGCAGCATTATATTGAATAAAGATAACCTGATTCTTATCCAATGCAAACTTTAAGGCTACAGATTCATGACAAATTTGATCTTCTGAAGTAACACATTGGTTTCAGAAATATTAAATCTTTGAGCATGAAAAGTAAATAATGAACTGGAAGGCTCATCTTAAGGATGACAATTCACCGATCGACGTTGTGCAAAAGCTCACATCATATTCCAGGGTAATTGCATTTGAAAACAAGATCCTAAGTGGACCGCTGTTGTAAGTTGTTACCACTTTATCCATGATAAATCATAAACATTCCCAAGACAGAACTGAAACAGTTAAAACGCGCACAACACAAGTAAAACTGATCTCTACTTCGGATGCAAACACAAGTTCTTAACCATTTTACGTTAGACCGCAATTTAACATTCAGGTGAAACAGTTCCTATGAATTAATATATTATTTAAAAAAAACCTTGCTTATCTTGGCCCTTAAATAATTAAAAAACAAAACACTTAGCATTTAAGTAAAAAAAAGCTTAATGTAAGTTTTAATGAACACAAATGAAATGAGTGTGACTTCAAACGACTAGGCGATTAGGGGATTTCATTTCAAAATACTACAATTAACCTCGTTTATGACATTGATTCAATCAACTAAAATAGCCCGCGACTGGAAGAAAAATAATGAACATTTATAACGCAATTAATATGTACTGTGCCAACACTTTTAGGCATATAACTATAATAATATTGTAATACAAACTTAAACGTGTGCACTTAGTGGCAATAACAGATGTCTGAGTAAACGTACTTTGTCATTCTGTAGCAAAAGAAGGCCGTAAATCCGCTCCAAAGCATCACAAATTGTGGAACTGTTTCCACGTCAAATGTTCCGACCGCAAGCAGACATTTTGAATGTTCGTTGTATGTTCATCAGCATAAACACAATCATTAAGAACGATTTTCTTGAAGCATAAATATTAATAAGAGCTGGGATATTTAGACGTGATGAGTGGTATCATAGAAACGATAATGGGAATGAAATAATTTGCGAACAATTTCAAATCAACGGCACCAAAGTTTAACACAAAACACATACAAAATGTATAAACGAAGGAAAAGATAAACTCTAAGAACATGCCGCGATGGTTTTTATCGCGAGTTTCATCTTAGACGGCAAATTTTACACCAGAAAGGTTTGCTATTTGAAATGCAACGTGCATAAAATCCTCTTGTACACAATCACGAAGAACTTCATTCTAACCATTAATAATTTTAGCGGTAGTTAAACAACAGCGGTTAGGTTGATGTTAAGACGTTTGCTATTCTCTTTGTTGCTACTGCTACTGTCATTGCTTTTGTTACTGTAATGGTAAAATTCAATCGACCGTCGCTGTACGCCACGACCCTAGTATTATTAACATAAAACTCGTATGACTGTTTTTTGCGAAATCTTACATCATAGTGTGTCTTGTCTAACTGCTTGTCTGTCTGTCTGTCTGTCTGTCTGTCTGTCTGTCTGTCTGTCTGCGCCTCTGTAGGTCTTTTCTGCTCTCTTTATGGTTCTTTGTTAGTTCTTTGAAGTTCATTTTTATTTGTTTGAGCAGGTTGATTAATTGGCAGCTGTAATAACTGATGTGGACCTGCTGTCCTAACCCACCCATCCCACCCCAGGGGAGGACATCCATCACACAGTAATCTCGTGTGTGGGAAATTAACGTCTCCTGCCCCAACCCTGCAGGAGACGGGACCTCCATTTATTCGTCCCTATCCGAGAAGACTAGAATATCTAACCATTTCTTGATGTTATAGAAAGGTAGCAAATTCTTCTCAATTATTTTAAGACCTTGAGTGTTGGTCCGGCCGGGACTCGAACCCTCGACCCTCCGCACTACAGTCCAGCGCTCTATCCATTGAGCTAACCGGGAGGCGGTTTTCAATAGTGGTGCGTTCACGTGTTGTTTCCTTAACCCACTATCAGGCACACAAGTGCCTCAAAAACAAAATGTTGAAGTGATCTTACCTCGGAATCATCCAAATCACTCGAAGACGAATCAACATCCATCGGTGCAGGACCCGTTGAGCTAAGCTTACGCACCGAACCTAGCGAACCAGCAAAACTGGCCCTCTTCTTGCGTCCGGAATCGCCGGCTACCGATAGCTTCGTGCTTTCCACAGCAAGTGAATGTCTTTTGTTCTTTAACCTATCAGCATGATCCGATGCTACCGACAGTTTCCCTTGGCTTACCCGAGGCTTTTTTGGTGCTGCCGAAGTGGGCGAAGGGCTGGGCGATCGAGTTTCGCGTCTCTTCGGTGGAGAGGGATTCGTTTCTTTAGCAGGAGAGATGTCCATGGGTTCCTCCGCAGTTGATGTTTTAGAACTCGGGCTTCCGTTTCTTGAGCTGTCCTTCGCAGCTGAGCTCAAGTTGGGTGTACTCTGCTTTCCTCTAACTGCTTCATTTGCCGGGGAGGAAGTGTTCTGATCGTTGGATTTCAGAGACGATGAACTTCTTCTAGTCTGTTCTTTTGTTTTTCTGGGAGGAGTAGGTGAGGAGGCAACTGTCTTTTCGTCACCTCTCTTTGTCGGAGAAGTTTTTCCTGTCGATCTTGTTCTTGCCGGAGAGGGGCTTCTGGCTTTTTCTGTCTTTGTCCCGGGCGAGCTGGGTTCGGGACTTAAAGTTCTACTCCCGGCTCCTTTTGAAGAGAGGCTCGGAGAGCTCGAGGACGGTCTTTTTGGTGTAGTTTTCGGCGGTGAGGAGGGCCGTTTTGGAGACTTCGTTGTCTGTGCCTCAAGAGCGTCAGAAAGTGTTGCCACATATGTCATGACAGATCTGTCATCAGGTTTTTCTACAGCAAGGTCTGGGAAGAAAAAGTCATACGTTTGAAATAATTTCCTATTGTCTAGGTCATTAACAGAACTCAAACTATCGATTATTTATATAAATCGTAACATACAGTATCTGATGTCACGAACCAATCAGCCTAGGGGAAAAAGTAGGAACGCGTAACCAGTGCCTGGCGCGCGATAGTCATACGAAAAGTCACGCGACTCATTGAACCCGTTGGAGGCAAAAATCTGACTGGAGATCCTCAAATAACCAAAGCCGGTATTTACCGTGCTTTCAAATCATAAATACTAACGAAAAGATTCCTCTCACATCGGACCAAAGATTATCGATTTAGCGTTTGTTTGGTTTGCTGTACAAGAATACTGTGTCTAATTTTGGGCATGATTTTTCTGAGAAATATTTCCGGATGATTACAATCCGTTGAATTTTTTCAGTTTACTTCTAAACGGATACACTTGTATTCAGAACCCAGAGGAAATATTTCACTGCGCAGAAAAATTGTTCGAATACTAGGTCACATTTAAGCCCGCGAAGCGATTCTTAATTCGAAACTGTCCACCAAATGTGAGTTAAACGGAATATTCCCACACCTTCTGGATCCAAAAGTTTGGGTACATTGAGATGTTTCTCAGCCAAATCGAACGCTTCCTTCAGGTTTGTAACGTCACTGCGACCTTGCACTGAGCTGAGATCCACCAAATCAGGCCTGAAATTTGAAACACAATGGTAGACACGCAAGTTAGAACTTCAATAAGTTATACACACAATTGTAATGCAGTCCAAAAAGACACGAGAGGAACTCGAGATAAATTCGCTATGCTAAACATCGAAAGTTCAAGGTTTGAACAATGATGCATATCATAACACGCTGTGTTTCTGACCACGATCTTCACAGTTCCTTCTGATGATCAAATAAGAAAATCAAACTCTGAGGTAAATTTTGGTGTGCAAGGAGAAAACCATCATCGTTGTGATGATTTTCCAGATGCTAGCACCCTTCTAAAGAGGATTAACAATCCTCACGGCTGCTTGTTTCACGGCAAGACCGTTGACCACAGCAAAGAATCGGTATTGACTAGCCTTATGCCAGAATTGAATACCCCCCTTTGCATGTTATTAAAGCCTAATTTACCGCTTTCCAATCCGTCTTCGTAAACAACTGACCAGACTTGTACAACCACCCATCACCAGTTTGCAGTTAGAGCGATAGATTTCGAGTTTAAAGTGACAAGCGTAAAACCCATACAAAAAAGTAAATTTGCGAAAACAACCACATTTTCCATATACTGCACTAATTAATAACTTCGTCTATTACAACAAAACCACCTGCAAATTAATTTACTAGCAGATCCATAATCGTATGTAAATGAAGTGCAATCTTTATTTTACAGACACTTTTGCGCAAAGCTAATTCGAGCCACTTAAAACGGGTGTAATATGAAAATTGCATTTATACATATCCACTTCAAACACAGAAAAAGATGCTACTGAGCAACATATACTATAGTAAGTTGGGTCATTCAATACCAGGTTCATATGCGACAGGCACTCTGCACAGCGGCACAGCGTCATTTGTGTAAGGACAGTAGGAAATAGACATATTTTAGTAAGTGCTTCGTCTTGACACCGTGATATTAGACTATGGTGATAAATTGAATCTTCTTTATGAAATAAGTAACCATCACAGAAAAATGCTTTAAAAAATCGTGTCTTCTTCGCATTCTTCGCGTACATTTGTGATTTGTTTACATCTTACACCCCATCGAGTCAACTACGCTCATCATCCAAGCACCTTCTGGTTTCTCCATCCTATAACTTGAAAACATATGGCGCAAGATCCTTCTCTGTAGCAGCACCATCATTATGGAATGCTTTGCCATGTGAAATTAGAAATGCTCAGTCTGTGTCTGTTTTTTAAAAGTAGATTAAAAACTTTTCTTTTTAGAAAAGCCTTTTATAATTAATATTAGCTGTCTTAAGTGTTAATGTTAAAGTTTTTGTAAGCGCCTTTGAACAGTAGGATACTGGCGCGGTATAAATCTTTTATTATGTTGCAGAGAAATCAACTGAATGCTACATTCTAATCAGGCAGCACAGGGCGAAAACCGTAACCTGTGAGCCATGGAGTAAAAAAATAAATGTACATTAACTAATCTTAAAAAGCTTTTATGATTTTACTATTATTATTATTATTATTATCGCCTCTTTTTGAAAAAAAGATAAGCATCAACTGCAAATAAGTAGCGTCATTACAGTATCCAATCAGTTAGGACTTCCGTGCTAATTCAGTGAACCTAAGTACAAGAACGAACATAGCAGAAATTTACGTATATGAACGATCCTTCGCAGTAAAGCACTATTTGAGCAATAGTGAAAATCAGACCTGAAAAAAAAATTTCAGGCCTGTACGGTATTCGAACCACTGACCTCTGCGATACTAGTGCAGCGCTCTACCAATTGAGCTAACAAGCCAACTGGGAGCAGGCCATCAAATTAATTCGATATAAACCCGCAGTTCACACATATGTTTCATATGTTTGTTGTTGTTTGAT